GATGCTTGGTCATATTTTGCAAGTGAGTGGATCCCTTGGATACCGGTTTTGAATGTCAACCTCTCTAGATATGAATACATACATATGGTTGCATATTATCATTATACGTTAATTTCAAAGTCAGGAAAGTTGCCTCCCTTCAACTGTTTTTTTTTCCAATAATTTTCCCGCCATTTCTTTTGGGAAGATCATTTTTTTTCTAAATAGATTGGCACAACTTCACTTATACTAAAACAAGATTACAACATAGCACCCAAGAGAATGGAAATCAATTCATTCATTCATATTTATCCAAACAGGTATTCAAATGTATTTATTTTAGAAAAGAGATCCAGTCTAAGAAATTAAACATATAATTTATTCCTGCGGATATAAGTGTGTGTGTGTGTGTGTGTGTGTGTGTGTGCGCGTGTGTGTGTGTGTGTGTGCGCGCACGCGCGTTATTTATTCTTTTCTGGACGAAAATTATATAACAGTTGTTCAAATAGATACATACATAAAATAATCCATTCATTCGGTTAAAAGTACAAATAAAATTCTTCCTTAGTTAGCCAAAAAGTCCTCGGAACATAAGAACGCATGAAAAAAATATATAAAATCTATATACAATACCTTTTCAGTTGCTTTTTAATATAAAACTTTCATATAAAGAGGAATATATATATATATATATATATATATATATATATATATATATATATATATATATATATAATAATAATAATAAATATAGATATACCTATATAGAAACACTAAATATAAATATATATGTATGTTTATTAATATATATTATTAACTCTGTCTAAACATATAGAGTACTGTAAATGTTTTACCTTTTAAGGTAAATTTGGTATATATTTATTAGATTTAGTCTAGCGTGAAACAGACTGTCACCTCTAAGTGTTGACTTCAATGTTCACTTTATGTTTACACGCTCTATCTCTGATATTGAGCACTTTATCCTGTAAATATAGCACACCTTAAGACTATTATATAACAAAAACTATGAATGCATTATTTGAAGTGCAATTATGTTAAATAAAAATCAATTCCAATAGATTTAAAAATGTAACAACAGCTGGAGCACTTTTGAAGTTTTAAAAGGCAGCAGGGGAGATTTTTTTTTTTTTTTTGCCTGACAACTTCAAAATGACAGAAATTGACTTAAATTGTTTGAAATTTTGCAGGATTATTCTTTCATCCCAAGCAAAGACACTAAGATGCAAGGGGTACTGGAAGTGAAAGAGAATAAAAAAAGACTTTAGAAGGAACCAGAAACCAAATCCTAAACAGGAAACAAGGGATAAAACTCTATTCCTGTTCAAAAAAACAGACAGGAACGTGAACCAGTTGATAGACAAACTTGTCTACTTCTATATCTGTTATTATTGAACATGGGACTAGTGATGTCATCAAAATGTTAGAGCTTGAAAAGTAAATAAACCAATGTTTCGATGCAACATCTTACTTTACAATGCAAAGAATTCATGCTGAATGTACTTTGAAATATCCATGTACTGAAGTCAATCATATCTGAATGAGAAGGCTGATGAAAGATTATATGTTATTTTCTAAAATCACTAAAATCCTCATGCCAGTAAAAATATGTTAATGCCAGTATTCAGTATAATAACTATGAATTTTTTCATGACAGTCTATTTTTAGTAACATATCAACTACCTCAACTACAAAAAGAAGCAGTATCAACTGAAAATTGTGTGCAGGCAAAAAAGCCCCACTCATCTGCATCTAGGATAGGGTTAAATCTAAGCCTACCATATGACAAATTAAAACTGAAAGAATTCAGGAAATATATACAGAAAACTTTAAAATCCTATATCATAAAAATAACTTAAAACTCACTCAAAGACAAATAAGATTTTTGTACGAGATAAGAAAAGTTAAGTATAGTAAATGAAAGAATTTGAAAGTAAAACTGTTTGATTTGTCAGTAGATGGAAATATATATACAAAATTCTTTATCTGTAACAGATAATATAAAATCAAGAAAATATAACTTAAGAAAAATCATAGTCCTATGATCTAGTGCAGAGGTTCCCAACCTTTTCAATGCCTCGCACCCCTAGAAAACTTGTCTTGCACCACCCCATATATATATATATGTAATATTCCGGCAAGAGGGCTATCCCGATACTTGCTAGGCATCAATTAATCACGTTGATAGGATGTTAGGATGGTTGTTGATTGTCCCTCGGTGATGGTAGCCTCCTATTCTCTTTGCTGCGAAGCTGCTGATTAAGATTCAACGGATGTCCGGAGGGACCTAATTCTTGTGTCTCTGGGGTTATCTCCTTCTGTTGCTGGGATATTACAATGCTTTTTTTTTTTTTTTTTTTTTTTTTTTTTTTTTGAGAGGGGTTTACCAATTGGGTCTTTTGGGTGGCTGTCTTGGGACCTGTGTGCCTGAGGTTGGGAGTATGTTGTGCCTGGGTGTCTTTAGATTTTGGTAGTGTTGTAGTGTGTGTAGTTTTCATCTTCAGATGAAGAGTAATCAAGTGGGTTGTGTGTGGGGCTTGTTGGTGGTTTTGGATTTTTTCTTGAAAAGGTGGCATTCTTGTAGTTTGGTGGCCCTCATGTGTGGCAGTTATCATGGATCCTTTTTCTTTGTCACAGTCATTAGGTTAGGTTGGTAGGGTGTGAGGGCCTTTGAGGTGTGGTCGTTTTTATAATGACTGTGTCACCCACTCTGAGATCATTGGGTTTCGATATGTTTTCCTGCGTGTCGTTTATAGTTGTCTTGGCTTGTGTGTCACGCTCCCTGATGCTGGGGTCTCCAGCTATGGGTGTGATCAAGTGTGGCAGCCCGGTTTTTATGGTCCGGCCAAATAGGACTGAGGCCGGGGTACACCTGTGGTGCAGTGTGGCGTTGTTCGGTAGTCCAGTAGAATTTGAATAATTCCTGCTTCCAGCTTCGACCTTTGATTGGGGCAGCCTTGATGGACTTTTTACAGTGTGCATAAAGCGTTCTGTTTCAGCATTGGCCTGGGGCCACAGGGTGTTATCTTCCTGTGTTTGAATCCGGTGAGGGGGCGTAGTCTTTAAATCGCTGCTGTTGAATGGTGGGCCATTGTCCGTTTTGAGGATGCTGGTACCCCAAACTCCATAAATATTTTGTCCAGGCGGGGTATCACTGATGTCGTTGAGATGGAGTCTAGGATGTCAACAACAACGTAGCGTGAGTACTTGTCTGTGACGACAAGTAGGTATTCCCATTTTGAGGTGTCCAGTCAGCGCTGACTTCTGTCCATGGAGCCGCTGGTAGTGGGGGGATTTGCAGTGGTTCTCTTGCAGGTTTGTGGGTGCTGATCTGGCAGGTGTGACAGTTCCTGATGTTTTTTTTCTTCTACTAGGCTCGTAATGTTTTGAACCAGACCTTTTCTCGGAGGAGGGGCCATGGATTTCACGATGCCTTGATGTCCGGTATAAATGCGATTTGGCGGCTCTGCTTTGTAGTGTCTTGGGCAGTACTATCCGGCGTCCTTTGAAAACGATGCTGTCGTTGTGTGCTAGTGAGAGTTCGGCACGGTTGGCATGCAGAGTTTGGAATGTTGTTTATCTACGTCATCATCAATACCGTACCACTTGTTGGTGAGGAGGGCTTATATGATGGCTGTGAGTGTTTTTGTCCTTTGCGGTTTCCATTCACGACTTCTTCAATCGTCATTGCTTTGGGGGTTGATGTTGAGAGGATGTAGTTTATATATTCTTCTGCTACTTTTTGTTCTCTGTCGCTCAGTGGCAGGTGTATAGGGTGATTTGGCTGAGGTAGTCAGCTGGGTTGTCATGACCTGGTCGGTATATGACGGTCATGTTGTACGGTTGTGTTCTCAAGACCCAGCGTTCAATGTCTGCCGATAGTTGAGAGCGGTGTTGTTAAAAATTGATGTCAAGGGTTTATGATCTGTATGTACAGTAAATGGTGCTCTGAAAATGTATATGTGAAATGTTCATGCCCATGTGATAGCGAGGGCTTCACGTTCTGTTTGGGGAGTATCTTTGTTCAACTGCAGATAATGCTTGGCTTTGCAAATTGTACTACCTGTCCACTTTGTGACAGCCGCGAGAAGAGATTCTCTGAGGGCTAACATCGATTGTATATCTCAGTGTGTTTGTTCGGTCAAAGTAGGCGAGTGAGCTACTTTGCTCAGGGGCGTCCTTGATTTTTTTAAGCATTCATTGTGGCATTCAGTCAGGACCACTGAGTGTTTTTTTTGTTAGTTAGCGCAGGTGTGTGAGACAGGGTCACGTGTTTGGAATGAATTGTGCACCACAGGGATTCGTCATCCCCAACAAGCTTCTGACTTCTGATGCATTTTAGGGTTGGGTAGCCCAAGGATAGTTTTTTATTTTGAGGCTGCTTGGGCTAATGCCTTTGTTGCCAAAAAAGTGTGTCCGAGAATTCCCAGGACCTTTTATTTGTACTCACATTTGCTGCCATTGAGGGGTGAGACCTTTTTAAATTGCTGGAATATTTCGAAGGTTTTGGTGTGGTCACTGGTCTGATCCAAACAGAGGATGTCATCACTGATGTTGATGGCTCCATTAATCCTACAATTTTTTTTCTGGAATATCTCACTGGCGAAGTTGACACCAAAGAATAGCCTTTTGTATCGTGAGTCGCAAAGGGTTATCAGGACTCTTCAGCTAGTTTCAATTGGTTGTAACCTTGAATCTAATTTGCTGAAGATATTAGCTCTGATAGAACAGTTCATCTAGTGTGGGGGTTGGGTGCTGTTTTCCTTTAATGGCCTTGATGCATGCTCTCAATCAATGCACACTCTGTTTTTGCTTCGGTCCCTTTTTCTACGACCCGATGGGAGATACCCATGGGGTTGGCATTTCAATAACCCCCTAGTTTCTCATCTTTGTATATATGTTCCTCCGTCTTTCCTTATGTGGAAGGGATTCTGCAGTATCTCTGGGCAATAGGTGGTATGGTTTCATCTATGTGTGGTGAACCTTTTTCCCTTTGAGTTTACCTAGGCCATTGAAGTGGTCTGCATGGTCGTCCAGAAGTTTAATGGTGGAGGGAGGGATTTGTGCCATATCAGTATATGGTTGATGGAGAGTTTGTGTGCGGATAGCAGTCCTAGCCTTTTGCATGTCTCCCAGCTGATGATGGGCTTTTCTGGGCTCTTTATCACATGTATGTCGGCCTGGCAAGCGGTGCCCATGAATTCTAGGCGTATGTTGAACCAGCCTAGGGCTGGGGTGGTTTCCTTTACACCAAACCCAGATATTACCGTTTTTGTGGGTCGGAGGTGGGGGGTGCTGGTCTCAAACGTTTGGAAGTCTGCCTCAGACAGGGCGTTAATGGTGGTGCCTGAGTCGGCTAGTCGTTGAACGTCTGGCGGCTATAGCCAAAAAGACGTTAAACAAGCGAAGGTTTTTCGTCTTACCTCTGTGGGAATTTTGTTTAATTCTGTATCACTACCGCTGCTACGTGGGTTCCGTTGGTCGTTTTCAATGCGGTCCACTGGCGTTGATTGGTCTGTGAGTGGGGACGATTTGTTTCCCGTTGTCTGTTTCCGTCGTTTAATCTTCTAGAACCGCAGTATGTGCACTGGGTATGAAGTGCAGGGCAAGACGTCAGTCCCGCCGCGAGGGTAATTTCCGTTGCAATTCCTGCACTGGTATTGCCGGGGATAGTTGCTTGGTCGGGCGCTTGTTCGTCTGCGACTTTTTTTATTGGGAGGGATTGTAGCGATAGCGGTGTTGTTATCTTCAGTCGCATTGTTTGTAGGTGCGACGCTATCGTCCTCCGTTGTCCTTGTGTAGTTTATTAAGTCATGTAGTGACATATCTGAGTTCATGAGTCCCTTCTGGCGGATTTTTTCCGACAGGCAGCCTGTAATTAGTTGGGACTTCACCTCGGAATCCATGTCGGAAAACGGCACATAGCCACAGCTTCTTTTAGTTTGCGGTAGAAGTCTTGATACCTGGGCTATTTTGTTTAATTTTTCGGAACACGAATCGGTTGTATTCCATGTTGTTTTCAGGGTTGAAGTGTTTGTGCACCGCTGAGACAAGCTTGTCGAAATGTGTTTCATTTTTTCTGGTAATAACTTCGCTCCTGTGGTATTTCGTCGATGATGTCATTTGTAGCCCTCGCCGACAAACGTTAGTAAGATTGCTTTTTGCCATTTGTCATCCTCAATGTTGTGTGCGACAAAATAGTTTTCAGTCTTTTTACGTATTTTGTCCATCTTGCTGCTTTGGCTGTTGACTCACAATCAAATTCGGGGTAGTGTGTGGCGACCATATTGGTTATATATCGAACACGTGTTAAAATTTTTTTTTTTTTTAAGTGTGTTGATGTTCTGTTTTTTGGATGTGACTCAGTCCTCGTCGTAATGTAATATTCCGCGCAAGAGGCTATCGATGCTTGCTAGAGGTCGATTAATGCGTTGTTAGGATGGTTTTGATTGTCGCTTTCTCGGGTGATGGTAAATTCCCTCTTGCTGCGAAGCTGCTGATTAAGATTCACTGGATGTCCAGAGGGGACCTAATTCTTGTGTCTCTAGAGGTTATCTCCCTTCTGATGCTGGGATATTACAATATATATATATATATATATATATATATATATACACAAAAAGTAATATCAATCTCTCAGATAAAGAAGGCAATTTATACACAATTTAAGCAACAGATTTATTTAAGCTAATTTTTGAATGATATGAAAAAGGAAAAAAGAAAACCATTATTACAAACTTACAAACAAACAAATAGTACAAAAAAAATTAAGCTTTTCATTCAATGTAAGTGTAAATTAAACAATTTCCAAAAACTAAAATCTCACATTAAGAAATTCACATAAAAAAATGTTAAATTTAAATATAATGACTTTTTTGTTCCCGTTTCTTGGACATGATTTTGTCAAAATGTGGTACTTTGTTGCTGATAGCAATCCATACGTCTGACTGTGGTTTCATGCAATCTCTAGATTTTGACAAAAGAGAACTAAATCCAGAATCACATAAGAATGTGGTCGCAAATGGGATAAGGACACCAAGTGTTTTTCACAAACTCTTTGAAACATATTCATTGGTGAACACCAATACTCCTCCAGAGAAGAGATGGGTAGTTTGAGCAAAAAAAGCAACTTTTTTCAGTTTCATCTTCAAACCATGAAATCACATTGAAATTTTTTACGAAACCAAAATCATTCAGTTTCGTTTAGTGCTATCACTACTGAGTGACCATATCCAAAGAAACACTATTGAAAAAAGATTTTCAGATGTTAATAAAATTAAATTTTATCAACATTTATACCATTGAAGATTGAACATTAAATGTTAAAAATATTTAATTGACTAGTTTCAGGAAAAGAAATAAGAAATGAAGAAGAAAAAAGGAAATATGAGATATGACACTTGGAAATCGTAATGTCTTCAAACAGTAAAAAAGTAAAATAAAATACGACATGATGTTGGAAATCTATTTGTTTTAGTTTTCAAAAAAAAAATACTTACTAGTTTTGTCTTAATGGTTTTATCTATTTAAAATAATTAAGTACACCAATCACAAAATAAAATTATTTGTAAACAAGAAAAAATGAATGAAGATTTTTTATTATAAATAAACATTTTTCGAAATCTAGGGAATGCACCTGAAATTAGAAATTAAAATCATTCTTAATTTCACTTTTGAATTTTGTATATTTTGACATGTGAGTCTCTAAAATTGTTTGTTTTCTACAAATAAAATTTATTTCTAACAAATGATACACTTACAATTAAATATTAAAAAAATAAAGTTTTTTTAATCTCAGTTTTAAAAATGTATATTTTCAAAACTGCAAATTATTTTTTTAACCCAAAGTTAAAATTATTTTTTTTTTTAGCCACTAGTGTTCAGTGTCACAGATTGGGAAATATAAAATTCTTTAAACAAGGAATAGAATTCATTTTTATTTTTACAAATATTTTTTTTTTTTTATCTAGCAAATAATACATAAGATTATATATTAAAACTCATTAAAACAGTTTTTAAATTTTAGTTTTAAAATGTGTATCTAAAAAGAAATAGTGATACTCAGAAAATTTGAAATATACATTTCTTAAAATGAAATTAAAGGGTACACATTTTTTTAATATTTAATTTAGGTGTATTCCTAAATTTATTTAGGGGAAAAGTAATTCATTGATTTTAAATGCTTAGAAATAAATTTACAATAAACAAATAACAGTTGACTGCCATACTAGAAAAAATTGCTGTGTTTTTAATTATTTTAAATGAGTTTTATTTTTTATTTTGGGTTGCCTCAAAATAAAATAATCATTTAAAAACAAGTATCTGTCAGTGTCAGACAGTAGTTTCAATAATTTGAAAGTTCTTTTACTACACATTTATTACTATCAGTTCTCTTTTTTTTCGCTTTATAATTTTTGAAGGAGAAGACTGAACATCTTGACTGTAGTTTAAGGTGTCTTCTAATTGAGTGTACAATTTCAAGAATATTGATAAAGATTAGTCACTTTGATTTTGTGAAACAAAGTAACATGGAAAATTTAGTCTCAAAAAAAAAAAAAAAAAATTTTGCATTTTTGACTGTTCAAAGAAAAATAACATGTAAAAACGCTGTAAAAAGATTATTCAACAAATAAAAGCACATACAAATTACATATTTAGAAAGATTATTTTATTTTCTTTCCAGCTATATGAATATTTTTAAGATTAGACCAGAACTACACAAGAAATTGCGAGTTAAACAGACTAAGTTGCAAATTTAACTATCTCAAACAATATCAGATATCGAGTGGAAATTCTATAATTACACAAGAAAATGAATGGCTTCCTTAGAAAGCAGAAATACTAAATTAAAAACCGAAAAACAAAATCAAAAACCAAAAAACAAAATCGAAAACCATGGTATCAAGGAAAATTAACGGAAACCAATACAAAAACATAAATTGTCAAACCGACCAACTCTACTCCAAAGTCTTGCTTTCAAACTGCATTTCAAGAGCACGATTTGTCCACAAATCAATAATATCTTCCTTCAGCTCATCATCATCCAACATATTATCCAAATTGTAGACATATGGATTCATGATCCATTCTCCTGAAATCTTCAGTTCTCCAGCTGCAAAATATCCATCAAATGATTTTGACAGCATTTCCAAATGAGCCACAATATCTTCACACGCAGATCATAGGCACAGATCAAACAACTTAAGGATGCGGTGGTTCAGAGCACAACTCCTAATCCAGTTAATGATCTTTACACAAGTGTCAAGTACCTTTTTTCAACCTTGGAGGCAATGTTTTTGCTGCCAAAGCATGACGATGAATGAAACAGTAGGTGACTTGAAAGTGCAGAATCTCTCTCTTCATCAATGCAGAAAATCCAGATTTATTCCCTAGCATCACAGGAGCACCATCAGTGCACACAGAACCAATTGTTTGGATATCTAAATCATGTTTGGCAAAGAAGCATTTCACAAACTGGTACACATCTTTTTCTTGTTTGGTTGTTTTCAGCTCTTCACAAAACAAGAAATCATCTTCCACAATACCATCACTGACATACTTATCCAATGCAATGAGTTGACTGCAGTTTGATACATCAGTTGATTCATCCAACTGGAGAGAGATTTTGAAAAAACTAGACCCAACAGTTGAGATAACTTGATCCAAAATATCAAATCAAATCACCAATTTGATTGTGAATGACATTTGATAGTGGAACTAATTCAAGCTTTTTTTTTTTTTCCTTCTTGGCCCAGAACAATTGTTACCATTTCTAATGCACACGATTTGATCAGCTCTTCTGTAATTGTATGGGGCTTCTTGGACTTGGCTACTTTATATGCCACTTAGTATGAAGCCAGCAGCAGTGGTTTGTGAACAGGAACTAAACCTAATCTTGGAAGGGTTCCTCGAAATTGAAAACAGGCTCTTTTAGTTTTTAGTGATTCAAAATCATGACCTTCAACACCACCTCCACCATGCTTGTTGAAGTGCTCTGGCAGCTTTGATAGCTTCATATTTGCGTTGGAAAATACAGTACCACAAAGTATGCACTTGGGTTTCCGCAATTCATTTCCTGTGCAAGTGAAGGGAACATAGTCATCATTCCATTTCCTTTTTTTGACATGATGAAGGATAAGAGATAGAAAAGATGAGTAACTCACCAATAACCAATATAATAGAATCTCACACCCATCAAATTTGGATTCTGGAGATAATTCTGAACTTAATGAAGTAAAGAAATAAGAGGCTCACCAATTTGGCAAAGCCAACTATAAACAGTAACTAGCAGGAAGCAGCACCACCTATTTTCAGTTGTTAATTTGAATGCTATCCATATTATCATATTACTGTTGTACTGGCTAATTTAACAAAAGAGTCATTTTAGTTAGGAACCACTGATCTAGTGTATGAAAATTGCTTCTGGAATGCTGAATGACAAAAATAAAATTTTATTTGTTATTTGGCTTACTTACATGTCAACAATAAAATTATGATTGTGACTGTCTTACATTAATCACTCTTGATATTTCCACATTAAAATTTCAAGCATTTCTCCATCAAATTTTAAGTTAAAATTTCATATGATCATTATTTGTTTTATTATAAGCCTTACTTGTAGATCTAATTTATAAAGGGAATTATACTAATTCAAATATTACAGTTTTGGGTTATCTATCTGCTAGCTATTCTTTTGTTTCACTTAAGCCTCCTTTACCTCATCTTGATTATTACCAGTCATTTCTAGCCAATTTCATATTACTTTCTTCTTTTGCCAATAAATAGTTCTTCTGAAACATGAATGCAAACATATTCATAGTGATCAACATATTACATTTTCTTAAAAATAAAAAATAAAATTATTCTTTTAGTTACTGTGACTGAGGTGAAAAAATTCAGTATCTTT